GCTCGTTCAAACCGAACTTGAGTTCCAGGAGGTTACCCGCTGGATGAAAAAGGCTAACATCCAGTATAATGCATTAGATCTACAGAAGGACCGGCTGATCAAAATCGTCATTAGAGGCCTCCCGGTTGAAACTAAAATCGAGGACATCAGGGATGAAGTGATGAGTGCATTGATGCGTTTGGCCAAGGCCAGCTAAATAGAACAAAAAACGGAATTCGTTTTTGTCGAGAGACAGAAAGACTCATAGCTGAATGCAAAACGTAACATTTGTTTATATTTATTTTTGAGTTGAAACGTGGTTGAGAGTCGTAGAATAATTTTGAATGAAATTTTTGTGCTAATGAAGCATAAAAATTAAATGGTAATTTACATATTTTATCCTTTGCTTAGAATTATCTAGTATTTACAAGATTTTTTTTTTTCTGTCTACTGTTCAACAGTTAAATTACATAACCAATAAAATGTATCTGCGCAGCATGATTTCTCTGTATAACTCATTAAAGAAAATACATAGAAATATAGAGAACGTGGAACTCAATCCAGGTTTACTTCGAGAATAAGATATTTCTATACAATGAAAACATGTTTTGGTGAATCTTTACATTATGGTAACTTGGCGAAAATTTGGCAACCAACCCAGCTACAGCAACCTGCTAGTTTTGTTTTCACAAAGTAAAGGCATGTTTTTTTTTTTTTTTTTTTTTTTTTTTTTTTTTACTCAACATTTTTTCCAACAATCTGCTAGCCAAATTATGCTTATACTAGAACTTTTATGGAACAAATGTGCTTAATCATGATGAAGATTAGGTAAGAAATTTGGGAGAAAGTGCAGAATCGAAAAACTGCTTGCAGCGTTTTAAAAGTGCACATACACGGTACCATGTACATGTCGACCTATTTCACTTAAAAAAAAATCCCAAATGCACAAAATGGTATTGGCGCACCTCTTGACTTTATCTATGTACACATCGACCTATTTTTCACTTAAAAGTCAAAGAAAATTGACAAAATCCAATTCTTCTTACTCTTGTAAAAAGCACCAAACAAATAAGTGGGTGATTCTGCACTTTAGCAGCAAAATTGTTTCTAAGTGCTTATTAGCTAAAATCACGATCGGAAATTTCCGGAAAATGTCACATTACATGTCTCGTGATCTCTCATTTCTCTGAGACAAAATAATCTGTGATTCAAACTGTGTACTTCTCAGATTATTGCTAAAGTTCTAGCTAGTAACCTTTATCACCTTACCAAAATGTCGCCAAACTACCTGTTACCATATTCTAAAGATTAGCCCATGTTTTTAATGCATAGAGCACTTTAAATTTATAAGGATAACACTTTAATTGATGACAGTTTATCTATTATAAAACAAAATTTCTAATAGTTTAATTGCTGGTTAAGGGATTTGGAACATTTCCTCAGCACGTACACAGATATCAGTATCACAGTTTATACTTCATCTTTCAAAAAATGTGGTATATTCCTTATAGGTCTCAGATTCGCATAGCGTAAAGGATGAAAATTTATAAATTTATTCTTATGTGATAATAATTCAGTCATAAGTGTTAATGGTGTGCTGTGTTCACTGTCTTACTGGAAATAATACAACTCATAGCCCTAGGTCTGCAGATCTTATCTATTTAGTGCAGGTATGAATTCATATTTAATATTCAATTTCATATAATATACTCATATTTACTTTAATAAAAGAAAAATTATCTTTTTTACCCTTCTAAAATCTGAAATCTTGAAGACGTGCTCTTTTATTATCAGATTCAGAAATTCATGTATGTATGGATATATGTATTCATGTGTGCATGCATATATATGTATGTGTGTGTGTGCACTCCCATATATGTGTATATAGGCACATGCATACATTTCTAAATCCAGTCCTGATAACAGAGGAGTACCTTTTAGACTGCTATTACTCATCCGTTTGTTTCGGAAGAACAAGTTTTCTGTTTTGTCACAACAGCCAATCACCACAGATCACTTCGGCGTTAACATATAAAGGGGAAATTGGTTCTTCATTACAAATAAGCTGATAGCTGATTGGTTGAAAACGAACAACTTACATTTATTTATTTATTTATTTATTTATTTTTTAAGGAAGGTAAAAATCCTGCATCTTTTTTTTCAGTAGTAAACTAGGCAGAAAAATTGTCCAAAATAGTTGTTTGTATGAAACAAATGCATGTGTGATATTGGTCTTAAAGCTTGAGATAACACAGTGGCTTCAAACTGGTAACTCACAAGCAGCATGTAGCCTCATGGCAGTTTTACAAACCTCACAAATAGATTTCTTGTGTTAGCATTCTTCTAGATTAGCATTCTTCTAGATTAATTATTATTGATAAGAATTTGAAAGAAATTTTAAGATATTAATGTATTCAAGTCCAGTTTTACAATACTTTCATTGTCATTAAAAAGAACATGAATAACATCATCTGCAAACAAAACTAATTAAGTTACACTGTGATGTTCAGCCTTGTTCAAAGATTTGAAAATGCAGATTTCATTAATTGGTTAATCTTTGGATTATGGTAACTTGGCAATTTTTGGGCGAAAATTTGGCGACCAACTCTGTTACAGCAACCCTCTATTTTTTTTTTTCCACCGCCATTTTGTCTTCACGAAGTAAAGACATGTTTCTTTTCTTTTTATTTACTGAACACTTTTTCCAACAATCTGCTATCCGAATTAACGCTTGCTAGAAATTTTATGAACAAAACTGCTTAATCATGACAAATATAACTGAAAAATTGGGAAAAGTGCAGAATCGCAAACTCCTTGCCGCGTTTTCAAAATCACATACACAGTAACCATGTACACGTCGACTTATTTTTACTTAAAAAACATCCAGAATTCATAAAATGGCATTGCACACACTCTTAACCTTATCCATCTACACTGCTATTTTCTCATAAATTACAAAATCAGCACAAAATGCAGGAAAAATTTTGTGAATCTTTAAACTCGTAAAGCACATATATGAAATTACCTGATCGCGAAAAGTTATACCCTTTCCAAGGATGAACATTTCCACATATAAAATAAAAAATATCCAAAAAGTTTTACCTCTAATTATCTATTATATTATAACGTCACCAACGAATTTATACCGCAAACATTAAAAATGGTTACAATACTTAGTGTCAATATTTAAATTATTTCCATGCACTTTACTTCAACGAAACGTATACCAAATTGCTACAAACATAAAATTCCAAAATAACTATAATTTAATTAAAATATAACTAAACCATGTACACGTCGACTTATTTTTACTTAAAAAAACATCCCAGAATTGCACAGAAATGGCATTGTGCACACTCTTCACTATTCCATGTACACTGCTTTTTTCTCATAAATTAGAAAAATTTCACGAAAATGCATGAAAATTTTGTGAATCTTTAAATCCGGTAAAAAGAACATATATGAAATTACCTGATCGCGAAAACGTTATACCCTTTTCAAGATGAACATTTCCACGATAAAATAAATAAAATATCCAAAAACTTTACCTCTAAATTATCTATTATATTATAAACGTCACCAACGAATTTATACCGCAAACATTAAAAATGGTTACAAATACTTAGTGTCAAATATTTAAATTTTTCCATGCATGTTTACTTCAACTGAAACGTATACCCAATTGCTACAAACATAAAATTCAAAATAACTATCATTTAATTAAAATATAATTAAATAAAAACACTACTTAAAATATAATAAGCACATACATTAATTAATGAAAATTAGCTTACAATCCTAATTACTTTAAACTAAATCATTGCTAATAACAATTTTCCAATAATACCAATTACTTTATTTACTCCTTAGATTTAGAACAATGCATAAAAATAATATCCTCAAATAATTAAAAATACTACTACCTAAGTCTCTCTTCAGAATCTTGATTACGTGGGGAAAACTTTTTATTTCCTCCCTAAATAAAAAGCATCGTATGTACGCCTGTTCAGGATCTTTAAATCGTACTTGTGGGTTCACAGCAAGATGTTGAAAACCTCATCCAAACAGACATATGACTTCCAGCAATCAGATATTATGTACCAGGTAATATACTGCGTCAACTAATAAGCAATCTTTATTCTATCTTGCACACCCTTAAAAAACACTTATACTACCCTTTCAACCCCACTAAATACCCATTTCGAATTCACTTTGATAGGGCGTGGATCCAAAATAAGCAACACTCTTTCCACAATACAGAATGAAGCTAAATACAAAATTCTATAAGTACTAAAGATATTTTTCCAGATCCCCCCTTTTCCGATTAAAGAAACTGTGATCGTCCATATATGCACATGACAATCTCATGATTTCTATTTCCTGACACAAAATAATGCGTAATCGGGAACTGAGTACTTCTCACATTATTACCAAAGTCCTAGGTAGAACCTTTATCGCTACCAAAATGTCGCCAAACTACCTGTTACCATATTCCAAAGATTAGCCCATTAATTTTTTGCATACTTGTCAAAAGATAAATACCCTTAGCTGGGAATTTTTGCAGTAGGAGTAATCTCTTTGTTTGGAAGTGTATTTATATCTGTACAGTTTTTTTTTTGGGGGGGGTTGTTGTTTCCATCTGAAACTTAATAAGAAAAGAATAAGAGTTACCAATAAGCATCTAAAATTTGTGATGAAGATAGCTTCTAGTAATTTTTCTCCAAGGTAACAAATTCTATCAAAATCAAAATGCCATGATATGTTGAAGTTAAAAGTTGTAATAAGAAATAATGAAGCTCATGAATATTTACATGCAAATATATGTATCTGATCATAATGAAAGTCTTTCGCAAAATAAAACGTTCTTAATAAAGTTAGGAAAAACAAGCGTGAAAGTAGTATCTTTAGTGCGGGTAGTAATCACCAACCATATCTATGATTTTCTGCCAACATTTTGATTGTTTTATCAAAGCCTTCATCCCAAAAACTTGGTGGCCGTGAGTCCAAAAACAGATCAACCTCATTTCAGACATCCTTTGCAGAATGGCAGATAGCACCAGCAAAATATAGCTACAGGTGTGAAAAAAGGTGAAAAAGTCCAAAGGAGTGATGTCGGAGCTATATGGTGGGTGTGGCAAAAGATCCCATTTGAGGAAAATCTTTTCATTTTGTTAGAAAATTTGCACCATTCTTATTTACGTGCAGTGCCCTCCCAAGTAAAATAGTGTCCAAAACATAAAAAAATTATAATCTAAATACACTGCACTTTAAATCAAAATAAACCAAGGAAATAGCATAAAATAAAAATACATGTTATCTGCACAGTACAAAAAGGAAATATTGATTTACCTTATTTACAAATTTCTGTGTTTTTAGTGTGTAGCGCAGAGAATTCCTTTACAGCATCCAAAAACTGTTTGTGCCTTTGTCACATAAATTCACAAAAATAAATCAGCCCCAGTTTCCAAATTCTAAAATCTTACTGCATAACTTACTGAGAGGTGAATGAAGCCATTTAAATCATTATTTACACACCAGTCAATCAATGTTTCCTTTCCCATTTGTTTCAAAGCATACAGAAACTTCAGCTTAATCATACCACCAACAGGCATTTTACATTGTAAAGCACAAAATAACCAACGTACTTCCTAACTGACATCCAACGCATAAATATGCCCTGAGAAATATTTTCCGAACAGTAAAAATCACCGCAATCATGCATTGCAACCAATCGTCATAATAAGGTTTCCATAACTTTCAACGAAAATTACTCAGGTTACCATAAATGAAACAAAAATTTGAAGACAATCCAAGGGGTACCCTAAAATATAGACTAACCCCACCCCCAAAATAAAAATAAAAATTCAGCCTGTCAACTGCTTTCAGACTGTACATATATTTTGCATTAAGTTTGAGTTTGAGACTACTGAAACAACATCTTCTGCATATAAAAATATTCGCTTTCTTGAGAGAGAAAAACTGATGTTGACTGCTGTACCGAAAGGCCCTGAATTGAATCCTGAAGGCATGGATATTTGTAAGCAGGCTGCCAAACTCCCCCAACCTCGAGATGCATGGCAAGCCAAAATCCTCATAAGAGGTTGATGGTAGGGGAAGAGGGATGGGAGACCCTCAGACTGACCCATGGGGTGTTCTCTATCAGTGTTATCCATTTATAGTGGAAACTTAGCAGTTAGCAAGGGCCAGAGATATCTTATATGCCTAGATGGATGCACAGGTGTTGTACTTCCTTCAACCTGTGCATGTACTAAAGGAATTTTATCAGCTAAGCATGTGTCACCGTATATAACACATGCTTAACTAATAAATTTATAATGTAGCCATATTTCTATTGCAGTTAAACAGGTGTAATGGTATTAAATTATTACTGTTTGATTCCAAGAGCTTAGAAATAAATGCATATTATACAAATTAGAAAATTTTTTATTAAGGTACCTCTGAAAAGCTGATTTTAAAATGGTTTCTTACGAAGAAAATGTGGAAGACATTGAAGACCTAGGTCAAACTGCTGAAGTATCTCGTTTAACAACTGCCATGTCTTCAAGTCCAGTGTTGAAAGTCAAACGGACAAATGAACCTACAGCTCCTATTATAGCTGATAGCATTATTCCTGGTAAGTATAATTTGCTATTTTCTCTCTAATATTAATACTTAGGATTCATATTGAGATTATTTATATCCAAACAGTTTGAGGTTTTCGTTAAAAATATTTGCATGAACACATGCAAAATATTAATTCATATCATAATAAAAACACTATATTAACAGTTCAAATATACGCAAAATGTATACAGTACAAAGTCCGAAATCTGGACTGGTCGGGACTTCGGTGATTCCGGATTTGAGATTTTTCCGGATAATAGATCATCAATTTAAATCTGGTAAGATGGCATGCTGAAATTATATAATAAAAAATATGAAATCACAATTTATGAAATAAAGAACCATTGTGACCTAAAGGGTATCAAAATTTACAAAAAAATACTTCATATTTATTTATTTACTTTAGTAAACATTTCTTTCAATGTAAGTTGTTTAAGGTGCTTCCACAAAAAATTCAAAAAGTTCTTTTTTCTTGTGTCATATACAGTGGACTTTCCAATGACATAATCCTTGCATAATTTTGAGACAGATAAGCCTTTATCCATTTTTTGCAGCAATTCCAGTTTTTGCTTAATGTACATTGAAACATGGTTTTGCTTTGTAGATCATTTGGCAACTCCAGAATTGGAAACTCTTTTCGACATAATCAAAAGTTCAAGCTTAGTTTTCATAAAATTGCTGTAATAATAACAGTCTGCAAAAAATAATAAGCTGGATCAAATTAGAAGATCAGGGAGCAGTGCAGTCTACTACATTAATTGAAATGCCTTAGAATCAGTACAGATAATTTTAGCCAATCTTAATAGCGTCCGTTATACATTATTGGACTGTGTATTCACAAGATTGGTGATGAAAGCCAAGTTGTTTTGCTAAATTTTGTCTTGATCATATTGCGTATTGAATTAAGCCTTAATTATTTTAGTTTACTTATTTACTATATCTTCATTTATTTCTTGCACATGCTTCAAACTAATCCAAGTCCTGAATAAATAAATTCCCACATATACTTAAGGCTTTATCTAGGGCCGGCGCTCGATACTGCCTGGTGCAGTCTCTACGGGTCCTAAATTCTGCTACAAAGCGCTTTCCTAAGTTCTAAATTTTCACCGTGCCTAAACTTTGGATCCCAGTGCTTTCCCTAAATCATAAAAACTTCTCATCCCTTAATTTTGCTGCTTGGTGCTTCCCCAAATTCCAACAATTTTGTCTTCCCTAAATTCTGCCGCCGCTTCTGGGTTTATGGTGAATAACATATCAGTTATTCTTAATTAAAATAGCACTAAATGTAATCTTTTGGCCTATGAGTTTCATTAACAAAATCCATTTTTAGCATATGAAAAGAAATTTTTGTTGAAGTTTCCCTCGTCAACATTTCTTAGATCATTTAAAAATCTATAATCATCACCAAGTGTAACGTTAGCATAAAAGGTTGCCATACTCTTGTAATTCAATTACTAATATAAAAAATTTAAGACATCACTGCATGAGTTATTGGATGAATTCATGTAATGGACTCCAATTGTGATGCGTGTAGGCTTATGAGCTCTGAGCTCGGCAACAACGAGTGCTCGAACCCGAATGCGGCTCGGCTCCACCATCAGGCACCTCATCATCTATGATCAACTCTCAACAACCGCTGCATGTTAATACAGCTAATCTTATGGACACTTCTGCTCATGCACCACCATCTCCTTCTGTATTTACCAGAAATGCACTGCAAATCTATGTACTCAAGAATCGCCACACCAATCTCTCATTTCAAATTCAGTGTCTCAGTTGTCAGGACAACCCAAACAAGGGTATGGTGCTCAGGCAGATGACTCAAGAAGGTGAGAACATTCCTTGTCTAAGCTTTGGAGTAAATCTCTTCACCCTACCTTCCACGGAGGCTGAATTCCTTGAAACTCTTAAAAAAGCTGAAAAACCAGCAAATGAACCTTCTAAAAGTTCCAACCAACAATCTACTTTGCCACCCCCTCTTAAGCCCTGGTCAGAAAACTCCAAAATCTGACCCTAGAAAAAGAAGCAGATCTGTAGATGCCGATGGATTTCAAATCCCCCCCAAGCATTTAATTGCTAAAAAATCCACTGTAAATTCTAACAGTAATAGTTGAAGTCCTACTACTAGCACTGGTAATAAATTTGATAATGTGAAAACCAAAAAATAATGAAAACACCTTCCCGCAGCTGGCCACTAATCCCACCCCAAAGATTCAAGCTCCACCCCTAGTCTTCATTAAGCCAAGAGCTGACTGGTACTTCCTTTTAGAACAGCTCCGCAGACACACACCCTCAATACAATCCAGGCAAAGACTTTTTACGATTAACTACTAATTCAGAAAATGATTACTGAACACTTGTCAGATTTTTTAAACGAACATTCAATTCCTTTCAAATCTCACACCCTTAAGGCGGAGTTTTCCCTCAAAGTTGTTATTAGAGGTTTACCCTCCAGCAGTCCGATTAATGTTGTGCAGGATGCGATCGAGGCTTTAAGATTCAAGATCCACAAAATTTCGCAACTTAAAAGGTGAAAAACTAAATCTATTCTACCTCCAGATTCACAATAGTCTCAAAGCAGTGGAAATCTACAATGTAACTGAATCCTTGGAACTGAAGTTGCCTTCGAACACTTCAAAGGACGTAAAGGACCTTCTGAGTTGTGGAGCTGTCAAGGCTCTCTACCTCAGAAATGTGTAAGATGTGCTGGCCCACATCAAGTCTATGACTCTCCTAAACCATTTGATCAACCAAATAAGTGTGCAAACTGCATTGGAGATCATGTGGCGAACTAGCCCCAATGTCCAAGAATTCCTGGATCTAAGAATGCCTCATCAAAATTTAATACTCGTTCAAGCCCCTCTGTTAATTCTTCCCCAAACAACACTTTACAAAACAGCAAGGCTACACGACCGGCTGCAACTATCACCAGTGCAAGTCTAGCTCACCCCGGAGTTTCGTATTCCAGTGCCCTCACGGGTATGCAACAGGTTGCTCCCCCAATGTTCCAGATTATTCAGTCCCCCAAGGAACTAATTTGACGCTAAATTGTACCAATATCCTTTTGGCAATTATTCAAATCTCCAACCAACCTGGTATTGACCAGAACAAACTTCTCTTGGTGTTCAAAAAATGCTCTGCCTCAGCTCAGAGTGGCTCCATCTGGTGCTGACACTGCTTACAACATTTTTTAGAATTATGTCACTTTCCAATTCTATGATTCCTCCAGTCATTAAAATTCAATACTTTGAAGGGGTTGAATAATCTGCAACTATGCACCTGAATGCAAATGGCATTTCCAATAAATTTCACGAGTTCAGAGATTATGTAGAAGAGAAGGGCTTTGATGTCATTTTTGTCAAAGAGACCAAACTCCAACCAGGGAGAGTTCCCAAGCTTCCAAATTATGCTATGTATAAAAATGACAGGCAAGCTATCGATATTCATGATAGATTTCATGGCGGCACTTGTATTTATATCAAAAATAGTACTTCTCATAAAAGGATTGAAACATCAACATCTAATCTGAGCAAACTTGAAGCGACGATTAGTGAAATTTTCATTATAAATTCGCCCTCTCTAGTTTTGATCTCTGCTTATCTTCCCCCAGGAGGAAAATTACTTGTGGAAGATTTTAATAAACTTCTCAGAATTTCTAATAACATGATTATTGTTGGCGACCTAAATTGTCATCACCAGTATTGGCGTTGTGAAATATCCAACCCTGCTGGGCATGGCCTTCTAAAATGGGCTTAGTGCACTCAAAATCAAAATTATTGCGCCGGATTCCCCTACATGTTATGATGCATGGATAACCCCTTCTACTATTGATTTGGCTCTTTTTCGGAACATTCCCTTTGATTTTCATGTGACTGTGGAAATTTGTTTATCCGCAGATTACAATCCCATGCTCATCGACCTTAACTGTTCTACTTTTGATCAAAATTCTCTGGCACTAGTCTCCACCAACTGGGACAATTTTAAACTTAAAAGTAAAAATTTGCCCTCCCTTGAAATTAAGTCAAGCTCCGATATTGACGAAGCACTTGATCAATTAACGAAAGCCCTTACTGATACCTTTAAAGAGGTATCCAAACCCACCCTTAGACCCAATTTTCGTAAGCTTCGTCCAGAAATTAAAAACAGAATTCGGGAAAAGAACAAAGTACGGAGACTTTGGCAAAGACAACTAAATTACAACTTTGTGCCCTCCAGAATGAAGTCAAGGTGTCTTGTGACCAATTCTTCCAAATGCAATACTCTGAATGCATTCAGTCCTTAACAACCAATGATAACAGCCTTTGGCTTGCATCTGCCAGGCTACACAAACCTAAAACTTGCATTCTGTCTTTATCAAAAGACGCGGTGATGGCTCACATAGACACGGAGAAAGCAGAACTAATTGCTGATAGTCTTCAAACCACATAATGAAGGAGTTTTCGTTAACACCGCAAATTCCTTCCAACAGGATGTTGAATGTTTCCTTTCCTCTCCCTTTCAGAGAAACATACAATACATAACCATAAGCGAAATTTAAACCTAAAAAGGCTCCAGGGTTGGATTCTATTTCTAATTGCATGATTAAATTTTTACCCATCAATTATCTATTTTTCCTAGTGATGCTTATAAATTATATGATCCTGCATTGCTATTTTCCTCAAAGCTGGAAATGCACACCTATAGTGCCTATTCCAAAACCTGGCCAGTGCCACTCAAATCCTCAAAATTACAGACCTATCAGCCTCCTATCTTCATTATCTAAGATTTATGAATTTGTGCTACTTAAACGCCTGAATGATTTTTTTCGGAACCAAAAAGTCCTTATTGACGAACAATTTGGATTCCGAGCAAAACACTGTACTACGCACCGGCTGCTAAAGACAGTGGAGTACATTCATGAAGGGTTTCTTAGCAAAATGCTTACAGGCACACTTTTTTTTTATATTGCCAAAGCATTTAATAGGACTTGGCATATTGGTATTATTATCAAGCTCATGCGACTTGAACTTTCGCCTCATTTCATTCACATGATTAACTCATATCTCACTAATAGATCTTTCTCTGTACGCGTTAATTCTACGAGGGTTGGAACTTTAATAGTGGCAACTATTTATTTACAAGAAATACAAAAGTGATTCATGTCACCATGTTTTACAGTCCTTCAATATAGTCGCCAGCATTTTCGACAGTCGCCAGCTTCAATATAGTCGCCAGGTGTTTCCAACGATGTGGAAGTCGCAGAATACCTGTAGCAGCGCCTGTTTTGTTGATAGTTTGAATGGACCGGTCTACTGCCACAAGAATCTCAGGAACAGTTTGGAAGCGAGTGCCACGAAGTGGTGCCTTCATCTTAGGAATTAAGTCATAGTCACAAGGGCTTAGATCTGGGGAGTATGCTTGATGGTGAAGCATTTCCCAGCCCCATCGCTTGAACAAATCAGTTACAGCTTGCGCTGCACGCAGCCAACCATTGTCATGCAAAATGAGAGGAGCGTTCTGCAGAAAGTGTCGCCATTTTTTTCTCAAAGCTGGTTGGAGATTGTGCTCCAAAAATGAGCAGTAATACTGCACAGTGACGGTCTGCTGTGGGGGAATGGTATGCGCTAGGATGATACCATCACAGTTGTACACGAGAATCACCATAACTTTTACATTGCTGGGGTTCTGACGAAATTTTGAACGTCGTGGTGACCCGTGATGACACCATTCGTTTGATTGGCGTTTAAGTTCTGGCTGGTACGATTGGGCCCAAGTCTCATCCAGCGTAATGATACGGCATAAAGAAGCATCTCCTTCGCGTTCATAGCCCTCCAGGTGGGTTCAGGCAGCATCATGTTGTAGCCATTACTGCATTTCCGTCAATTGATGTGGAACCCATTGTGAAGCAATTTTTCTCATGGACAGGCGTTCCTTCAGAATGTGCAGCACAGTCGTATGCGCTAATCCTGTTTGTCCGGCCAGCTGACGAATCGTTTGTCGGCGATCACTGTCCATTAGTGCGGCACAGCTTGCACGTCTGCATCGCTGACGCTCAGATGACCTGGCCGCAGCATGTCTGCCATATTTTGGCATCCTTCATTGAATGCTTTCACTCATCTTGCTACGGTTCTGTAAGGCAATGCAGATTCTCCGCAAGCCTCTTGAAGCTCTTGATGACACTTCCATGCTGTACGAACTCTGGCACATTCAATTTTTATCCAACGTTGTTGTTCTTGTTTTGAAAACATCCTGACAACACTTACTTTAGACCGCGAGCTAATACAAAAATCCGTTCTTCGTGTCACTCCGCATGCGCGTGACGTAGGCAGGACGAGTCTTTTTGCTGAGAGGTAAGGTAGGTATGTAGTTCACGTGTGGTATACGCGATATTCTTTGGTTTTGCTGTGTAGCGTTTTTTCAGCTGTGTTGCCACTATTAAAGTTCCAACCCTCGTATCATTTCAACTCCCTGTCCAATCTTTAGTGGTATAGCCCAAGGTAGTCTTTTAGGACCAGCTTTGTTCAATTTATTTATTAATGACATACCAAAATCACCCAGTGTTACCCTAGCTTTCTATGTGGATGCCACAGCCATCCTAGCAAGACACAAACACCTGGACAGATTGGTTCATAATATTCAGAGAATATCTCTCAAGCCTTGAGCACTGGCTCATTACTTGGAAAATAAAAATTAATGTCGCTAAATGTGCTGCTATGATTTTTAAACAAGCTCCCTTCCCATACCCTACAATTAACTTAAAATTCTTTAATGATTATGTTCCCTGGACTAATTCTTACAAGTATCTTGGTGTTATACTTGATTCCAAATTAATCTGGCACCTTCAAATCGATAATATGATCAAAAAAGTAAAGGGTGTCAGATCCCAGCTTTACCCAATTTTAGCTCGTAGCAGCCAACTCGTAACAAATCAAAAACAAAGCTCTTCTCTACACATCTATTTTAAGACCTATTATATTATTATATGCATGCACTATTTGGAGCACTGTGGCTAAGACACATATGAAAAAATTTCAATCTTTTCAAAGTAATACCCTACATATGATTCTAAATGCACCCTGGTACATCCGTTCAGATGTGATTCAATATTAAATCCATTGATGTTAAAATTAAAAAAACTTAGTCAAAATTTATTTCTCAAAATTTAACAGACTGATAATCATGTACTTTAACAACTGCCTGCCTACGATCCTGCAATTTGCAGCTCACAGAAGCGTCCTCACTCTATTATTGGCCGGGAATAAAACATCTTTCCACCAGCTAAAAGGTGAAACCACGCCCCTCCAACTTCAGTTCCAGCCTAACCTCCATGAAGGAAAGACATCTCTTGTTATGCTGCCATAATATGCCGATAGCTTATCCATCTTCTCTATAATTTGCTCACACCAACCTGAAAAGTGGCCTGTTACATAATTATCAATCTGTTATTTTAACCTTCCAGCACACGCACTTGGCAATTTTACATGAGCACGCACATGTCGTATTTTTTACGACATCCGTTATTTTACCATTTTGGGCATGTGTTGATAATAAATTTGTTAAGAAATAAAATATTAATCTTATTATTGCAAAATACAAATGATAAATATAATTAAATTATTTTTAAGTTCTTATGTTAGTGAGATGGAAATGCAAAGATGTATTTCACTATAGAAAGTTTTAAATTTATTATTTAATAATTATATTTTAAAATCGAAGCTAATTTTAATATTCATCAAAGACATATATAGACAATAAAAAAGGAAAACAGCTTGGTTGGGAAAAAAAAGTAAGTTTAGCATTACTTACTTCAGCAAGGATATTTACTTCTTACTGGTTCCAAAAACGCACTTTAAACTAACTTTAATGTTTTTCATTTATTTCTAAATAGAAATAAAAGAAAATAAGGAATGGAAAGAAACTAAGGAATGGAAATTGCTATTGTTCTCCCATCCCAAAGGTTTCCTTGTCTTCCTTTTCTTTCATCAGATAATTCTTTAAGAATTCCTGAGCAAAATCAGCTGGTTGCACATATTTTTTTTTTTTTTTTGCCATGAAAACCGATATCAAATTTGCAAAGCCAAATATATATTCAAATTAAAATAATACACTGCAATTAATAACACAAAATTACAAAATATTTGAGAAAAAAATATTTTCCGAATTTTAAAACACGACCACGCGCGTGTCGTAACTTTTATGAAAAAGTTGCCACGTAGCACAAAAGCCCAGTTAAAAAAAGAAAAAAGTCAAATGACTTCCTGTTGGCACATTCCATGATGTGGGGAAGGGCAGAAAGGAGGAATAGAAATGACATTCAGACGTCTCAGCTTATATATGAAAAATGTGCATTAAAAACTGAATTTGTCGTTAAGTTTGCGCATACGCGCGTTCTGGAAGGTTAAAAATCACATCTTCTCACAGAATTTTTTTCTGCCTTGAATATTTTCTCGTGATTACCTTGCTATATTTGCACTATTATGTTGAGCCACATGCCAATGTTCCTATTAATTGTAAAATCTTTCCTATCCGCTTTTTGCTTTAGTGTTTGTATTGTGTATTTAAAAAAAAAAAAAAAAAATTACACTCACAACAACAACAACAACAAACTTAAAATATAAAACTACAAAAAAAGTTTAAAATTTTGAAAAATAATTATAAAAACTAAAATTTCATTTTATTAATTGTTTATATTTATCTCTATCCCTAACCTTTCTTGAGAATATGTGGCTCCTTCTAGCTTGCATCAAGTAAACTAACTAATGCAATTTTCTTGTTTCTGCTCACTTTATTTAGTTCTGATGAGGAGGTAAATGGTTTTAAATCATAGGCACTCCGTAATTTGAAATCATTAGCATGAGTTATTACTGAAGCTGTCATGTATTGATAAACATAACGGTGATGAAAGCAAAATATAATAAATAATGACTCACCAGGTTGGCGTCAAGGATATCAAATAGGTGAATGTTTCGGTTTGAAATGTATGCCAAGTAGATACTCAGCTATGGAGCCAAATTATTAATCTCACAAATTTATGCTTACATGATTGTTTTTCCATAACGAGGTATTTTATTTAGTGCCTAAGTGAAATTAAGAATCTTAATTTTTAAGTGAAAATCTCCACATGTTATTTATAGAAGGAAAAATCAAATGCGCATGCGTAAAGCATTAATAAAAAAAAAATGTTTGTGGCTTTGAAGTCCGAATTTTAGATCATTCCGGATAATGGACGTCCGGATTTTGGACTTTGTACTGTATATCATATTTCAAGTGATGTCAGGATATGCTGAATATTGCTGTATTTTAATCAGAATTTTGAAAAAAAAAAAAAAAAAAGTCTGCAGTTTTTTTTTTTTTTTTTTTTATATTGAAGTAAAGTGGTAAAGGTTTATATGGCAATGTAAAATTAAGCTTTTTAGATATTAAAAGTTATATAAATTAGCATATTAAAAATTATATAAATTATAAAATTATATATAAATTAGCTTTTTTCATTTGTAATGAAATATTATGCAGTAGTTTTTAAATCTTTCTCTTTCAAGTATTTATTAGTTAGTTGCTTTCTATAAATTTATGTTAAAATGAATTTTCTGAAGGTATTCAGAAGGTTTATGTAAAAACCTGGGGATGTGCTCATAATAGTTCTGACAGCGAGTATATGGCTGGACTTCTAAATCAATATGGATACATTATAACAGGTTTGATTTTTTTTTTTTTTTTTTTTTTTTTTTGTTTGTTTTTTGTATGTGTGTGTAACTGTGTGAAAACCTTGCATTTTTAGCATTTTAAAGTTAGAACTAAGATTGTTTTAGTTTTAATTTAGAGTTATTTTTGATTGATTTAATTTGGAACTAGCATAAAAATAAAACTTCTCATTCTTAGCCAATATTTTTAGATTTTTTCTGCTCATGTTGTCTTAAGCAAATTTCTTTTTTGATGGAAGTTCAAAATTATTACTTAATATTATATTAAAATTTGTTGATTATGTTTTGTGAAATGACTTTATGGGGCTAAAAGTAATGAAAAAAAATTCTTTAGATGATTCATCCATTGCTGATGTATGGCTTTTAAATAGCTGCACTGTAAAGAATCCAGCAGAAGACCATTTTCGGAATGCTATTGAAGAAGGTCAACGCAAAGGCAAATATGTTGTAGTAGCAGGTTGTGTTTCCCAGGCTGCTCCAAAGTCCCCTTATTTACAAGGCCTCAGCATCATAGGAGTGCAGCAGATTGATAGGGTTGTTGAAGTTGTAGAAGAAACTTTGAAAGGTGAGTATCATTATTTTTTATTTCACCAAAATTTCAGACTATTGATGAGAGAATCACTAATATCTTCTTAAGTACCCTTATTATTTTCGCTTGATTGTAAGCCAACATTGATTATAGGGTTCTTATGGTCTGTAAAAGCAAGTATCCTTAAGTTTTGCAAATTTTAGAGGAATATTTTTTTCAGAGCATAGACAAATATGTATTTGTGAATTATTGTTTGAATTATTTCCTATTTCTTAATATAAGCGATGGATACTTGAGTTTTTGGGCATGAGGTCCTGCCTTGATTGAAACATAAACATTTTGAGATTTTTTTTTTTTTTTTTTTTTTTTTTTTTTTTTGTGTGTGTGAATGAAGAAATCATAAAATATTACATCAGTAGAAATTTTTCGCTATTTGGGATATGAATTTCTATGCTATCAACATTTTGGTGATTTGAAGATCAGTTTGTGTACAATATTTTTTATTCAAAGATTTGCAAATTTTTAAAGCAGTAGTCTCAAACTCAAATTGTATGAGGGCTGCATGCACGATCTGAAAACAGCTGAAGGGCCAGATTTTTTTTTTGTAAAGTAAAAAATATTTTAAATAAATTTTATGTTTCATTTACTAAATATTTATCAGAGCAAAGATAAACAAAAATAATAATATTCAAAAGAAAGTTCAAATTTATGCTTATTCCCAGTCTGAAATCTGAAGTTTGATACCTGCAAGACATTTCTGTTGGTTGCACTTCAGATCAGTTGGGTCTTTTTTTGTTAATTTTCAACTTTGGAAAAGTTGTTAAGTATAAATTTATTCTCAAACAAAACAATTATGTAGACAGCTAAATATTATATTTTTAAATTGACCTTTCTTTCAAACTATTATAACTTGTTTAATTGATCTTTAAATAATTTAATTTAAACTAAAAATAAGCAAATTATGAAACCTTTCTAAACTTTTAGAGAAAATTTACAAAGTGGGACAAAACTTAATAATGAATAATAATAACCTTTTTCCCTAATTATTAAATTTTCCTTTGATACATAAATAAAAACACATATCTCTGTACATAAATAATTTTGAACTTCTTTTTTTTCTTCTTACTATAGCTTGATACTTGATAGTGTTTCAATTCTGAAAAAATGTATATTCTTGGGAAGAAATTACTAGAAATCATATTCAAGGATTAGAGCTGCTCATTAGTCAATCTGGTCCTTTTAATTTTCAGCTGTAATAAAAGCTGTTCACATATAAACATATTCCCGACAAAGTGATTATTTTTAATACAAAAGTTCACAACTGAACTTAATTAGTTTTTGACAAGTATGTATAAAAATTAATAAAATCTGTATCTTCAAATCTTTGAATAAGTTTTGTATTACACTAAACATCAATTAGCTCCATTTATAGATTTTATGATTTGTTATTCATTTTTATTTTTAATGAAAATGGTAATAATATAAACATGGACTTCAAATAACTAAAATGTTGAAATCTCAGCAGCACTGTATTTGAATAAGACCATGTCATAAAGCACAGTTTCCTAAACATTTCCTGGAAAAAACAAAAAACAAAAAAAAAAAAAAAGTCTTCGGATTTTTTTTTGCTGTTACAAAGTTGGTAGGGATAACTTTTCTTTTAGATTTTAGAACTTCCACTTCACAAGTTTTAAAAAGATATGAAGGTGAGATTTATAGACCTATGATTCCAGAAAAATGTGACAAAATGAAAAATGTCTTCCTGGTATTTTAATGGTAATTATATAGGAAATTTGTGATGAATTTCTCATCTTTTGGAGAATTTTTGGAAAAATAGGGAAAACAAAATTATCTGAATTTTCTCTTTTTGCTCCTAGAAGTCTTTCTCTTAACGTGTTTACTTCCCTTTATTTTTCATCTTTCTACTAGATACAAGCACAGAAAAGTGCAGAAATAGTTATAATTTCGCAAATGGATTGCTATCTCTAAAAAGGAATTTTTGTGTTAGTAAAGAAATTGAAAACAGACAAGATTCATCTTATTGTCTCATTGCACCATACATAGGGCTTTTACATAACAAATTTTACATACATACATTTTGTTGCTCAGCACTTCACTTAAATTCTAAAAAATTCTGCCTTACTAACTATGAGGCTGGCCCTGACCTTGTATCATTTCATACTTATTCTCAATATTCATATTATTAAAGAAACAAAATTAGCAGCTTCGTCTTTATATTCCAAGCACAAGCAATTCTTTAGAATAACAGTGATCTTTATCTGAAATTCTAATTCTAGATTAACAGGGATCTGTATCTGAAATTCTAAAGAATTCTTTAGAATAACAGGAATCTTTATCTGAAATTCTAAATCTTTCAGATTTCTATTTTAGGAATCTGAAAATTCTAAAATAAAGAGAAAACACACTGAAGAAGGAATCAATTACATAAAGAAGGAGAAAATTATTTTTCATTGGTATATTGTTGAAACATTAACGAATTATAAGATGAAGCAGAGACTAGTAGTAACATTAATTGGTTTAGTGAAAAAAATAAGCTTGGAAAAGATGGTAAAGGGAAGGATATTTATGTAATTCAGCTAAAATATCAGGAAAATTTTTCAAATTAAAAAGATCCAAAACGTGCATAAGTTTAAGCAAGTAATTATGCATAAATTTATACTAGTGTCTTATACAATCAAATAAATTGAAACGTCTGAGGCAACTGAGGCAAACTGTAATTCTTGCAATAAATTAACATAATTTAGAACAAAAGAGGTCTATTTTTATTCTTTTTTTATGACCAATTCTATCAGTCTGTTTTCAATTAATTTATAGTTTAATGAAAGAAACATAATATTTTGGGAACAATAAGTAAGTTCTTTCAAAATGAATGCATGGTTTGTTTTCTTTCTTCTAGATGATACTTTTAAATGCTTTTGTCTGAATTTTTTTAAATATGCAGTTATTTGGTAATTATCCTTTAAAAATCTCTTGTTAAGTGACCTTAAGATAAAGTGATCACACCCCGCTTTTTGGAGGACTGTCCCGTTTCTAAACCCGCTTGAGAAAATCGCTTTTGTAAGACGACAATATATAATTATATAATTTTAATAAAACATTTAATGAAAATACTTGCGGCCAACTTCAAGTAACGGCCGCCAATATATCGGCAAATAATAATATATAATAATAAAATAACATATCGACGAAGAAAAAAAATGAAATGTTTACTGCTAAGTAATTAACGATAATTTATTCAGTGTTGTTAGATTACTCACAGCGAGCTGACACACACACTACTTAAATTACAAATGCGTGTGAGTAGCTTGCGTTCAGCTACCTTCGGCTTTTGGGGGACACGTGCACTCAGAACTTGTACGCATCCCCCGATAGCCGAATGTGGCCGAACTCATGGTCTCAGTTTTCCAATCATAGTTTTGTACGATATAGTATTGGTGCATGCATGTGCATGCACTTTGCTTTATTATTAATTATTACTTAATTCATATTGTTACGGATTTCATAGTTATTTATTTATTTAGTTTTTTTTTTTTTATTTAGAATTGTAATTAGATTTGCTTCATGTTGCCTTAGCAACGCAGACGATTTTTGAAAAGACAGCTGCGTTGGAAGGTTAAAAATAGAACAGCGCGTGCATTTAATACCTAATAAATAAATATCTCGTAATTGCTGTTGCCATCCACAAAAATCCAGATATTTATAGATGTTTCCAGTATATTCGAGAAATTAATTATAAAGCTTATAAAAGCCGAGAACAAACAACTCATCTCAGTAGTAGCTGTAGTTCTAGCGAACTGTTTGTTTACTTAATGCTGTGATTGATTTGTAGCGATTTCGCTGTGAGATAGAATTAGTTTCTCTGTTTTGAATTGATTTTTGCTAAACGTTTGACATTTTGTGATATTGTTAGAATATTTTTGAAGAAATATTTCAGCATTTTGATTTATCTCTTGTGGAAAGAATAAATTTTTGTTAACTTTTTAACGTTAACCGTGTTTATTCCAGCCCTTTGTATTCAGTATGTCTATATCAAAACCAAGTGGTAGTAAAATTAAACGAAAAATCGCTGACGAACATAGAATATTCCAAGTAAAATGGGAATTAGAATATTTTTGCTGTGAAATAAAAGATAAAATAATCTGCTTGATATGTAATAATACTATTAATGTACCAAAGTTTATATAATATTAAACGTCATTACGAACAACACAAATCGAAATATAACAATTACGAAGGATTAAATGAGAGAAGAAAAGTTGAAAGAGCTCAAGTTAGGAGTGAAAAAGCAACAGTCCATGTTTAGTAAAGTATTGCAAGAAAGTGAAGCGGCGGTACATGCAAGCTACGTCTTGTCCGAGTTGATAGCTAAACATTCGAAGCCTTTTACTGACGGTGATTTCATCAAGGAATGCCTAATGAAAGCTGGAGAAATTGTTTTGTCCTGGAAATGTGAAGGCTTTTCAATCAATTTCATTGTCTCGAAATACAGTTGCGGAAAGAGTTACTGATTTAGCCGCGAATTTAAGTGATCAGATCAAAGCAAAATCATCTAGTTTCGAAAGTTTCTCCATTGCCTGTGACGAGAGCACGGACATTAGTGGCAAAGCTCAATTAGCAGTGTTTCTTCGTTCTTGTGACAAGAATTTTAACATTTTTGAGGAATTACTGGAACTAATACCGATGCCTGGTACTACCACAGGAGAAGATATATATTTACTTGTGTTTTTGGACTTCTGCAGAAATACAATCTACCTTTGGCAAAATTAAATTCTGTAGCTACAGATGGCGCTCCATCAATGACCGGGAAAAACAAGGGCTTCGTAGCATTACTAAGAAAAAAACTTAGTGAAATTCACGGTTCAAACATTCATCATATGCATTGTATTATACATCAAGAAGTTCTATGCACGAAAGTAATAAATATGGAGAATGTTTTGTCATATATAAAAAAAAGTTATAAATTTTATAAGATCTCGAGGTTTAAATCAGCGTCAATTCACTGCTTTCTTAAGTGA